GAGTTTGTTTTCCATTCTATTTGTATTTCTTTCTTACATATTTCTACATTACCTATAAAATAACAGATACCTTTCAAGAGCAAAAAAAAATAGCAGTAAAGCAATGGTGTGAGCTTACCTAGCATACTATCATCTTAAAAATAAATACCTGTCAAATAGCCAAACCACCATATGACAACCCACAGATATCATTCAGATACCTGAAATGAGTATGGATCTAACATGGGGAAAAACTCCTATGATTAAAGCCAAGGCTTTAAAGAATACACTTTTTAATATATTTTTATCCACCTCAGGAGTATTTTTAAGACTATGGAATGTCCATAGATTATAGAATATTTGTGCAATTCCGCTTTTTCTGTAATACATACTTCCTTAGGCATAATCTAATTGCAGTGTGGGTCTATTTTAATATAATCAGTAATCTAAAAAAAACATTTTTAACAACCAATTTAGTGCCATCCTAGAAAAGGATATATGTCACACATACCCCAGAATATGTGCCTTTGATTTATATAACAGAATTTATCAATTAGCTTTTCAATTTAATGCTTTAAAATAAAATAATAATTTGAAATGTGGCATCCTATAGCTAATCCAAATTTACAAAAATTGTGAGTACAAGTTTTTTTCTTATATATACCATGCTACTATGCTTGAAGAAAGTCTAACAGCCATTCTAAAAAAATTTATATTGAACATTATAAAGCATGTATACTAACAAAATAGAAAAACATCATCAACTTTAAATGGTATACCTTAACAAAAATTTTTAGTTTAAATGGCCAAAACATTCCTTAATATTCACATCATAATTTTATTGGACCAAGAAGCTGACAAGTTTGTTTGATAATGGACAGATTTCTGAAACAAAAATATCAATAGCAGCTTTAAAGAAGCATCTCTTTGTTCAAAACATCTTAATGTCCAATGTAGTGAGAGCTTTCTTCTTTTTCTAGTCTTAAAGTGTTTCTTATGGAAAAGTCCATTTTTTCTTGAAATTCTTTATATGTACTGGTAATTGGAAGAGCTAGACAGTTATTACACTTGTTTCCAACAGGAAAATCCATATGAAGGCACTCAACTGAAGGAGTGGGTTTAAATCCAGCAGGTGGAATGGAATTAAAACCAGTTGATTAGAACTTTAGGAGAAAGAAGATGGCGGCGATATAGGCAGACGCGTCCCAAGTTGTGTCCCGGAGCAAATGGAGTGAGCAGCTGAAACTAATAACACCCACCCCGAATTGGCGAAAGTGCTCAGCTGGTGAGACGGTTTGCAGCCGGGAAGGGCAGAGA